TTTAGGACATCCTCATGCTCAAGTTTTTCGTTCAATTGTTTCTTATTGTTCTTTACCCGTTTCGGACAAATTATCAAATACTTTATGTTCTTCTTGTCAATTGGGAAAATCTTCAAAGWCATCTTTACCTGATTCCACTTTTCGTAGCAATAATATTTTAGATCTTGTTTACTGTGATGTTTGGGGCCCTTCTCCCGCGCCATCTCTTGATGGTCATTGTTATTTTCTTTTATGTGTTGACCATTTCACACGTTATATGTGGATTTATCCCTTAAATCAAAAATCTGATGTGTATACTGTGTTCACACAATTTATCACCATGACTGAACGCCAATTTAACACCAAGTTAAAGTGTATTCAATCTGATTGGGGGGGGGGCGAATTTCGGCCTCTCACCAATCTTTGTCGCAACCTTGGCATCATCCACAGAAGGTCTTGTCCTCACACCAGTGAGCAAAATGGCATTGTTGAACGTCGCCATCGTCATGTTGTAGAAACTGGTCTCACTCTCCTGGCTCAATCCAGTCTTCCTCAACGCTTCTGGTCCCCTGCCTTTGAAACAACTGTATACCTCATCAATCGTCTCCCTTCTCGTGTCTCCTCCAACAAATCTCCTTTTGAACAAGTCTTCAAACGCAAACCTAATTATTCCTTCTTACGAGTCTTTGGTTGTCAATGTTTCCCTTATCTTCGTCCATACAATCATCACAAAATTGAATTCCGGTCCACTCCCTGCGTTTTTCTTGGTTACAGCACCGTTCACCACGGCTATCACTGTTTTGACCCGTCTAATGACCGGATTTATATTGCCCGACATGTTCGCTTCAACGAACATGTGTTTCCCTACCAGCCTTCACCAACCCCACCACCACCATCCACTCTTCCTTACATCTCTATATTTCCTAACCCACCACCCGGTTTCCCACCCGAGCCTCCACAATCGCCTCCACCACCACCCCCTCCTCAATCTCCTCACAAACCTCCCCAATCGTCTCCACAATCTTCACCATCACCACCTATTCCACCTCCTTCTGATGCCTCCCCGCCCGAACTTACCCATACTCCTCCACCCGTCTCTCGACCTCGGCCTTCCAACCTTCGCCCCAATCCCAAACAACCTGACCGATATAACCCAGCCGCTTACTCTGCCACCGCTTCCTCACCTCTACCTCTACCTCTACCTCTTGAACCCACCAGTTTTACCGTTGCCAACAAGTCTTTAGAATGGCGCCACGCAATGGCTGATGAGTTGGCTGCGCTTCATAGGAATGGCACGTGGACACTTGTGCCCCCTGTTCCTAATGCTAATGTTATTAATTGTAAATGGGTTTACCGGTTAAAAACTAATGAAAATGAAAAGATTACCAGGTACAAAGCCCGCCTTGTGGCCAAAGGTTTTCACCAACAGCATGGCGTGGATTATCATGAGACTTTCAGCCCCGTTATCAAGCCTGTCACTATCCGCACTGTCCTGTCTCTTGYTGTCACCAACAAATGGCCTCTCAGACAGTTGGACATTCAGACCGCATTTTTGCATGGTGATCTCAAGGAAACTGTTTACATGCGTCAACCTCCTGACTTCATTGATCAAACCAAACCTGATCATATCTGCTTGTTACACAAGTCGTTGTATGGGCTCAAACAAGCCCCTCGTGCCTGGTTCATAAAACTGTCTACTGCTCTTCAACAGTTTGGTTTTTATGGGTCCAAAACCGACCCCTCACTTTTTATCCTCAAATCTCCGGGCTCTCTTAACTACCTTCTGGTATATGTTGATGACATCATCATCACCGGTAACAACTCCACTGCTATCGCCACCGTCGTTGACCAGCTCCATACTCTCTTTGCTCTTAAAGATATGGGGCAGCTACATTATTTTTTGGGGGTCGAAGTTGTTCACAAGGGGGCAGACTTAGTTCTCTCACAACGGAAATATGTTTGTGAGAT